CTGAACGGACTAAGTGTTTTTTGTTTAGTTGCAGCAGCGTATCCCGAAAGACAGTGGGTCCTGTATCCTGTAGGTAAAATTTTGATACATTGGGGGTGACCTCTGTGTAGGTACATCAGTCTGGGCATTACTCTATAAAACTGTGGGGACCGTTCCGTTTGGCGGCATGATCTGTCTGGTTATGTCTGTCTTTTTCGCGCCATTCTGCCTTAGATTAACAGATTTGTAATGCACTACTTGACTCATCTTATGCACTGCAAAACTGACCGCTTGCATGCAAAATTTCAAATTCTTCTATGCAGTAGTTGCCGAAATATGGATACTTTTTTGACAGAACCAAGCTTTGCCTAAGCCAAGCTTTGATCAGCCCAAAGGAACACTACCCAATTAAATCACTGCAAATTACATAATGTAGCAGCGCAACAGGCATTAAAGTCATGTTAATTGGTAGTGACACACCTGACTGCACACTTTTACATTCACAAATCGTATATGAGATCGGAGTTTTATGAAAAAATAACTTATTTTTACCTAGGTATACCTTCGAAACTGAAATATTCCATATTAAATGTCAAGTCTGTAAATATAAATATATTGTTGATATTTTAACATGTCATATGATCTTTTCTAAAAACATATTTTATGACTGTCATTTACTTGTACACAGTAGATGTCATCTAAAATCAGATAATAAGAGACACTCATCTTCTCCTTAATATTTTACAACAATCATTATGATAATCTTTTTTGTTGCACATATATTGATCCCTCTTAGACGATTGTATAAGGTATGTGCACTGCAGGTGATAAAGAGACCCCCGATTTGGACCCACCCAAAATTAATTTTATTTTTAATGAAATTTTAACTGTATTTCAGTATAATAATTTTACTCAGAAAATTAACTTAGAGGGCTCTGGCATAACTAAGATTGACTGTTTTTTGTTAAGATCTTAAAACTATTTTTCTCCAATATTATGTAAAATGAAGACATACTGTAAATACAGTACAGTATTATATCCTTAATTCAGATGCTAGTGCACATAGCTTGTTAACAAGTCCATCACCCAAACACCATTAAAAAATACCAACAGCATCTCAATATCAATTTATATAAATGGTAATAATACAAATATATTTAAATAATGTTATGGAATATCCACTGTTAATGCAAAAGTTTCATTCAATATTCTGTATATATAATATTTGATATAAGTACATGGTAGTATATAATAGTAACATAATTGCCAGGATTTGATTTACTTACTACTTCGTCCGCTGCGATTTAATTTTCATCCTGACAAGAACTACGAAGACGCACGATCTCTAAGCACGCACGACGGGTTGTAAGAGAGGCTTAAGGACAGTCATGTCAGTTAATAGCGTAGAGGCCCTGGGAACGTGTGGTAACTTGTTGCTGACCCTCGCTAATGACCGTGCTGTTACTGGAGGTGCATGGGGGAGCTTCCAGAAGCTTGTGCAGCTGCTGGTACATTATGCGATCACACGGAAGCTGCTCGTCTCCTGCGGTGTCCCCAACACTTGACACTGTAATTTATTGGCCATCAACTTACTTTGCTGATGAACTTCTTATAATATGATGGGTAGTTGTTATGTAAACTGAACTTCAGATCCGATTCGTGTCAGCGTCTTATATTTTCAAATTTCGTTGTATACATGCAAGCTTAAGATAAATGGTATCTGGGAACTTGGACATAAAAAGGAATTTATGTCCAAGCTGGGAATTTTAAAGCGAAGAAGCTGGCCCACAGATTTCAAACGCAGGTTAAAAGGATAATAACTCTTCATATAAGATCCATGTTTCACAATAAAAACATTGTGAACAACTCCTAGAAATATAATACATTCTGCTGTACAAGAAAAACGGCAGTTATAGCTATTATTCTGATATCTGAACTTGTCTTTAGACCACGTGACCTCCATTGATGGCTATACTCTTACAAGATATTATAACAAAAAAAACTTTTTAGAAAAAAAACAGGGACTAACTTTGAATGTAAAAATGGATTCATTGACCATTGGTAAGTACGGGAAAATTGTTGTTTACTCCAGGAAAATTCTATTTTTGGCCAAAACGAAGAGTTATTATCCCTTTAAAACAACGGGGAAACAATTTTAGGTTGGTCATAACCTACTTAATTTTATTGACAAAATGTATAGAGTTAAATTTTCAAGTGTTTGTTGTTATCTTTTGATGGGTGTTTTCGTGTCCGTTCACACGCACGCACGTACGCACGCACAAAATTGGATTAAAATATTTCGTTGAACAACAGAATCACGAATTAGAAGAGAATTCATTTTACTAGTTTCATCTAACTTTGTTCACGAATTTCTGAACAGTGCTCGCATCTAATCGGGAAATCCTCTGTTAAAAATTTCTGTAACAAAGTTACAATGACTTCTGCACGCGAAGTCTTCCCTTTTGAATATCTTTTTCTGTGGAGAGTTACAGTGTACCATTCCTGCTTTTGTTGAACATGCTTAGTCTACGTTTTATGTGTGTACGGATCAGTTTGGGCGAGCCCTGGAGTACAACTGAAACCTTCCTTCGTGGTACTTTCAGTGAGTCTCTCTTGTTAATTAGCTAAAACAATAAGTATATAAAACGTAAAATGAATAGATAAAAAGGTGAAATAAATGAATTAAGGTGAATAAATAAAATAGGGAAAATGATGACATTAAATGTTCATAAAGACATATATGGATAGAGGTGTACTTTTCTTGGATATTATACTAAAAGATGTAGGTACTAATAAATCAAAAAAGTCATTTTCATTTTTTCTTTTTTTCATTAAGGGGCACAACTGATCTCACCTTTTTCAACAGTGATTCAAAGATGACTGCCGCCTCGTCCGGTAACGTAGCAGCGGAACTCTCCATTGGAAAACAGTCAGGATACTCGCTTGCATCTTTCTCTGCATCATCTGCATCTACCTCCCTATAGACAAAGAATGATGTTAAAACGAAATATTTTTCAAACATCACCATAAAAATAAAAAGGTATTCGATAAATATGCACATTATCGTTAAGAATAAACATACGGATCTTTTTACAGTTACTTATCAAGATATAGGGCTACAAAACAGCTACCGGGTATGAATAACCTTAGTTACCCAGAAAGGTTACGTAAACTTGGTTTACCAACACTTAGCTATAGGAGGGTAAGAGGGGACATGATTGAGATGTACAAACTAGTCACTGGGATATATGACAAATCAACTAGAGACTTTATTAAATTATGGTTAAGCCATTCACATAGGTCCGGTAACAGAGGAAATTGTTTCAAGCTATTCCCTCAAAGAGCCAAATTAGACTTGAGAAAATACAGCTTCACAGTGCGTACAACACAAATATGGAATAGCCAACCCGATCAAGTTGTCAGTGCAAAAAGCCTAAACTCTTTTAAGAACAGATTAGACAAGTGGTGGGATGACCAGGAACTCAAGTATGATGATTATAGGTCCGAAATTAACATCATCGGAAGTCACAAGTTAGTTTTGGAAGATGAGTCCGATAAAGAGGATCCAGTAGGAACCTGAATCGAAAATCAACGCTAAGTAACGCTAAGTAAGTGTATATATATATATATATATATATTGTGGACTAAACCATTCTGTGGTCTATCTGCAGTGCCATCTGCTGATTGAAAAGGTTTGTACTTGGCATTTTAAATTAACAGATGGCTGCCCAATAAATGGGTAATTGAAAACTTGTCCAGCTTATAAACTTTTATCAGTCGTAATACATAGTGATTAAAATTATGTTAAACACTAATCAATGTTAAGAAAATTGAATTTCAAGCGATAATTTTTTGTTTAATAAAACTATAACTTCTCACTCCTTATGTGTCAGAGCAGTGCTCATTTTAAAAGACTCCCAGAACAGTCTGAGCACGACGGTCGGACCAGAGAACATTGGAATCTCTCCAAACCGAATGTAGGGAGACTTCACAAAGTTACGAAGCATTATACATTTAGGTCTAGCTATATTTGTATATTTACATGTTTATGTTGTTATTTATTTGAAAATACTTGATTGGTTAAACAGATAAAATGCATCTGATTTATCTATCAGGTATGAGCTTGATAGGCGCGCCTACATCCTAGAAAAACGAAGTTTAAACCTCTTAAAGTATTTGGTTTTGTACGCTTAAAATACCTCAAAAGTAAGAAACTAGGAATAAAGCTTACCTGATGTGTTCCAGATCTACTTTATTTCCTACAAGAATAGTTGGTGTTGAAGTACCAGGTCTGGCATGAAGTCTTATCAAGTCTAGCAAATTGAGTGCCGCCTCATAACTCCGTCTATCTGTCACCGAATACACCACAACAATGCCATCTATCTTTTGAATTTTACTACGGACGTACGAAGGCTGCTTGACGCTCTGTAAAATGAAAGTAAAAGATTAGTTTAAGTTCTCCTTTTCTCTCTCTCCCTCACACACACACAAACGCGAGCACACTCACCCACTTTCTCTCTCTCTCTCTCTCTCTCTCTCTCTCTCTCACACACACACACACACACACACAGACAATAACACGGACGCACACAAATACACAACCACACACGAAAACACCCATACGCCCACCTTCCCAATGACGTCGGTAATCTTGATCTGTACGTTTTTATCGTCCACGTTCACGGTACGGTTGTAAGTAGACTCTTCGGTACTGGCATACTCAGAGAGAAAACGCCTGGTGAGGTACCTTACTACCAAAGCTGGCACAGGAAACAAACGCTATTTTACTTCATTATATCTTACACTGAGATAGTATATGAGCATGTTGCCTTTTACTGGTGGTTATGCTAGTAGGTCTAGATTCACATAGAAATGGCATTTAATTTTTATAATGAAAATGTTTAGATTTTTTCAGATTATTCGAATTCAATAGAAAATGGCCAATGTGTGCAGGCCAATTACATGCAAGATGCCCCATGAACGTGTTTCTTAAATCATCTTAAAAAATCTTACCGGTTTTCCCAACTCCCTCTGCCCCCAGAACAACAATGTGATAAGTCGTTTTCGTAGAACCTTTCTCTTGTGAATTACCTGTCATCATGAACAACTTGCACGCTGCAAAAGAAAGATATTCACACGAAAAACATTTAGAAATCACTAATTATATTTCTTTCGCTCAAAATATCCATTCCAGTAGTATATCGGGGGAAACATTACTCATAAAACTGAATAGCAAAGCCTTTTTGGAATGACTTTCGTGAACTGCTCACCTTTTAACTTGCTTGAAAAAATGAAAAATAAATGAAACTGAAAAATCCAAACGTTATAATCTTTATCTGCTAGCTATCCTGTACCATGGTCTCAATGACTTACCTCTATTCTTCATCTAATTAGAATTATGTGACCGATTTGAGTCATTGTCATAGCGGAAACACAGAAGAGGGTCCATTGGATATTCATATCTCCATCTTGAGCGTGTCCATGGTAGGATAGTTCAAGAGGTGTGTAAAGAGAACGTTATCGGAGTTAGAGAAGATAAAACAGGCGGTGGGTTGGGAACAGACGCTATCTACCCTCTATACCTTCCTGTCTCTTTTCAGATTTCCATGAATAACTTACACCATTTATAGTCACTTTTGTTCTTTTTTATTTCAAGCAGGTCTTTCTAGTAATTGTATGATTTTTAACATTTACAGTTTTTCAGATCTCTTCGATCCCATTCCTGTTCTGTTGGCCCGCTGTGGGAGACCTAGATGCAATTTACCATTTAAACTTCTAACCTCAATTTGTGTACAGTTCTATTTAATTAGTCTTTGGAATTTTAGTAGAGACTCGAATTCCTAATAAGCCGGTTTATTCAGCACTCCAATCACGTACCATTTAATCTCGATTTAAGTGTTGGGCTAATTTTGAATAATTTAGAAAAACGCTTCCAAGAATTAGTACTATTAAAGGGAAATAATACAAGAAAACCGATTTTAGGGAGGAGGCGTTCTCTACTCGAATTTTGTGATGTAGATTTTGATAAAGAAAATTGTGGAAAGATAAAAGACGGTCATAAAAAGGCAAATGGAAAATCTTAATTATTTTTCAAGTTTTTATATAACATAATCGTTTCCAGCAAAACTTTCCACGCAGATTTAAATTTCATTTTTTCTATGACAGATTAAGCTTTAACAGGAAATGAGACGTTTAGATATGGCCCGATTTAACCTCAGGTAGGTCTGCTCCGAACGTGCTTTTTGACCGCGATGTTTGATTTGAATCTACCCCATAGTACACTTATCATAAACAACAGCTCACTTTTTATGCAACTCTCTGTAGGTAGAAAAGGAACTTTACATAGATAAAATTATACATCCCTTACTTCGGACATAATGACATCCTGTCTATGAAAAGTTAATGTACATTATAAAAATTAAAGTAACAATTTAGACGTAATTTATCTAAGCAAAGTAAGCTTACATGGAATGTTAACATCAGCTCACAACGGTGAACAACGGAAGCATGATTGACGGATTACTCCGTAGTTTGAAGGGTTCGGGTTAAAACATATTATTACGGGTAATTTTATATTTAAATCATAAGAAGTAAAACTGAAACACAACACTGTTATCTGAGTTTATTGCATCGGGATCAAATATAAAAAGTTTCAAAGTAGATATATATATACAAACGCTACTTATTAAACTAAATATCTACACTTCAGCACAAGCGTTAAAGACGAGGCTGGCGATGTACATGTAGGTAAAGTTGTTGAAAATAAGTTTTTTATCTTGTACTAGTACACTAGAACAGTAGCGTGTCAAACACGTGATTCACATATTAACTACAAAAAAGGACTCAGACATAATGTACAAACACAACTCCACTTCTGTTGACTTTCGCTAACCACTGCAATCATGTATTTTGATAAAATACAATTTATACAGTCACCAACTGTAACAAAATAACACATTAAACCGCATAAGAAAATGTCTACAATAACGACTTGTATAACATAGAAACACTAATAGACGGACGTGAACAGCAGTATATACTTGGCTTTGCTTAAGTAATTTTAATTTAAAAATAGAAAATGAAATGATGAAAGCCTTATTTTCCATCAAATTTTGTACAATTCAAAGTGAGAAAGTATATTTGCCCATGTTCCATTTTCAAGATTTTAGTGAGTTCTGTTACTTAAGTTCATTTAACAACACTTTCGATTAAATGAGTACCAGTGTCCATTTTTAAAATGGTGTATGACCCTATGTCTAGTATCCATATTCGTGATGTAGTCATAGTACAGGATAAAGGAAACAAAACATGGTCCGCCCAAAAATAACCAATTGAAATACCTATCTATTTAGGTATGCCGATATAACCTGCAAAACCTGTGAATGGCGTACGAAGTTCACTAGTGAGGATATCTTAAATGTGCATAAATCATGAAATATAATTTCTTCGTCGTAGATTGTAAAAAATACCCTTTTCTTTGCATTACGCTGAATTTACGTTATGCTACATATCATACATGTATATGTTATATACACAGAATCTGATGAAACCTGTGTCAAATAAAACTTAGACAAATAAACATTTTATAACGTTTAATCCGTCCAATATTTAAAGCAATGATTGGTGATGTCTTTTTTTTTTACATTAAAATGAAATTAAATAACCTTTCGATCACAGCTTACAACTTGGTCCAGCCTTAGGCTTTAAAAACCTCATTTCTTTTGCGGTTTTCTCCACGGTGATGCTGTAAATTTTCCTCAAGGCGAGTTCAGATTCATAAAAGTGTTTTTGACAGAAAAGTGACACTTTCTAAATCTGGGAAGCATTATTAAAACGTAAAATAATAACATCTGCAAAAATGTCTAACACGTTATATACAATAAAACCATCATTTCAGTCTGTTCACAAGTGATTTACGTGCATTAACCATGGTAAGAAAAAGAGTATATACAACCTTAAACCTATTATACAACAGTAGAATTCGAAGGGTCTTGATATAGAGATATATCAAAGTCAGAGTACTGCGATACGGGACGAGATCCACCGGAATACTGCGAAGATGGACGAGAGCCTCTACTTCCCGGACGAGGCGGACGCTGAGTGTACAAATTTTGTGATAGCTCCACAGGGCCGACAGGCACCCCCTCTTCGGTGGACAACCTTCTGATTACTGGGTAGGCACGGTAGTCATCGTAAGATGGGGGACGGTCGGTTCTCTGGGGCGGTTGTCGCAGGGTTACTTGTTCCGGTGCTCCAATCTGCGGTGATTGACCGTTTTCAATTATTGTAGTCTGCGGCGTAGAAGAAATATGGATGTTCACGTTGGAATTTTCATAGGAGGGATTTGTTCTGCCGTCATAAGTAGGTGGCGTTGCTGCCTGGGTCGTGTCCTCCCGATTTCGCTGCCTTCTGCGCGCCACCAGAAAAATGATGACCACTATCACGATGAACACGACGCCTCCCACTATAGCTGCAATGTACCACATCTGAAACGCCTCTTCTGTCTCGTCATACCTGGCGCTGGTCCCTTTATAGAAAATTTATGAAATAGTTGATAAAGTTTAGATCTCTCTCTCTCTCTCTCTCTCTCTCTCTCTCTCTCTTTGTGTGTACAAACATGTATGTGTGTGTGTACATATGCGTGGATTACACTTGGAACGTATTTGATGGTTTTTTCGATCCATGTAATTTATTTAAATGATAAAGTGGATGTAAAATTTTGTCATTAATATTTTGGGTCATTATGATTATTTTACGAGCAGCATTTTAAGCGTATCAGACGCATGTATGCAAATCTCTCGAAATTAGAAATTAAAAAAAAAATACTGTAAAATGCGAGAACATTTAAAGTCTATTTTACATTGATTGCATGCATTGTTTGCATCTTTACTTTGCGTAATAGTATGATATTCCAGCAGTCAAAAAAAAATATAGTTATTGAAATTGGCTTGAACAAGGCTCAGAGACGCAAGTAACATAAACGCTTATTTTAAAAAACAACGGACTCCTCGAACGGACCTTTGGGTTGGACAATTCTTAAATGGTTTTTATTCAAAAATAAAATTGTATTATACTGCACTTTTAGATACTCTATTGGCGTTACCAATGAAACGGTCACCATGTAGTGTAAAGATTTCAGATGACAACTTACGTGCTGGTCCGCCGCCGCCGGTCTCCATAACTAAGTTGTATTTGCCGGTGTAGGACGACGCAAGGCAGCTTATGGTACAAGAGTAAGTCCCAGCAAAGCGTTCTGACATTGCGTTGATGACCAGTGTGGACATTAAGGCGTCTGGACTGGTGTTTATCTCCCCTTCCTCGGCACTGTCGAAGCCTGTGGGAGGCACCCAGTACAAATACACTTGACAAGACCTGTCCAGGAATTTATGAATGGCACTGCAGACGCTGGCTGCCATTGCGGAGCAAGTCAGGGTCACTTTTGCACCAGGCTTGATTGCATCTTTCGTCGAGATCAGGACGCAGTCTGAAATGCAGTTTAGCAATCAAAGCAATAGCGGTTTTCCCAATAAAAAAGGCTATTCTAAAATGCGGGGACGGTATGTGAGCCACCATAATTATATTTTCATTTAAATAAAAACGAATATTTGCATTTCTTTTAATAATCACGGAAAGAACTTTGGAGTAAAAGAATCTACTCTTACATAAAAAAGTATCTACATGACTGGAATATTTCACTGATTGAGTCAAATCAACGCAGTACTCCAAACTAGCGTGTCCCGCACAATAAGCCTATGTAGCCCAATGCGATACAGTGACAGCTTAGTTATGACGAACCATTAGTCATATGTGTACACGGCATGCGAAGACGGTCGTCTCTCACCAGCAGTCACCACACAGGTTACATGTCAGTGTGTATTACGACATTAGCACTGGTGACCTTAGGCATGCAATGCTCGGGTGTCAACTGTGTGTTTGAATAATACTGTCATGTATATGCGATTGGAACTTTAGATAGCATGATTTACCCTAAAAGGATGCTAGCCCATTGAAAGACAGCAGCAGACTTGAGCGTTGCAAATTTCTAAACCTTCCTCCAAAACACAACTACATACACAGGAATAAACACCTGCGCCTACCCTCCATCACTTGCATCAGGAAGCAAAATGTAAGGGGCGTGCACTGGGTGGGGTAGTTATTCAGAATTAAGACGGGAAATAAGGGCCAAAAACTAGGCATCATGTTGGACACTGGGGTTTGGGCCGCGATCTGAAGTATATATTTCACTGAAATAAATGAAAAGCTCCCCTAGCTCCACCCCACTTTTCTGTTCCTTGGACTGGCTTGGTTGAAAAGAGGAAGGGGACTAAGCAGCCCCCTAGTCCCTCCCCACCTCCTACTCCTATGTGCGTACTCTGTTGTTGCAGCACATGTACATGTAACACAATAAAGCTGTTGCAAAGATTGATAGCGGCATCATAGTGGCAGCCGGGTGATAGTGACACAACAGGGCGTGTTGACATAATATATACATAGCCTGCTGCTAGATTAAAGAATAAACAGGTATTTATTTTAGATACCAATGTCAATTGCATACTGATCAGCCGATTGTTTAATAAACATGAAAACGGTTGAGCTGATAAATGTTTACCAGTATACCCAGTCAATGATAAACGACTCTGAATGTCTGGCAATTTCAAATGAGACCTTGTCATATTGCGACCTACACACATGCTGTAGTATGATTAGTAGTAGTAGTAATATGACAGCTTATGACCTTTGTTAAAAGACGTGTTGCTTGCAAGTACGTTCTATATATTGCTATACCGTCTTGTTTATTCTTTTACATATAGCATTTGGCAAAATGAAATTGCGTAGGCAAACGTCGACCTGCTTTCACGCAAATAACGCAAAACAGTACGGAAAAACTATCAGTGACATTAACAATGCATAAGCTTGTTATTGTCGTGTTGTGTTAGTTGAAATTCAATAGGCCTATACCAGCACATCCATAGGTAATCGGCCCGTGTGGATACAGAGTAAGATTGTTACTCTACAGAATTTCTCTCTGTGACGAGATGACCACATCAGACTACAGACGGTTAATTAGAATTCTCGTTTGCATACCAATACAGTCGTGGCTCTCTTGTGACACTGTGACAACTAGCTGTATGCATAGATAAGTAATAACGGGAAGAGGGCAAGAACCCTGAGACTCAACCAGTTTATATTCCGTTGTTTTGGTCGTTTGAAAAAATAAACATTGTTTATCATTTCATTTTTATTAATCTTACCTTCAGCTTGCACACAAATGACCAGTGTAAAGAAATACATTGCTAGCGCGATACAGGTAACGGAACTACCGGAATTAAGATGGAAGCCTCCAAACTTGGCGCCTCTTCTTACACCCCGCCACGATTCCCGCGTTCGTTCAGTCATGCTGATTCCGAGGTGTCTGTGTCAAGACGCTTCAAATGACATTGAGTCATTAATTTTGAGACACTGTGCACGAAATAAACTAAGAATGTGACAAGCTGTGTCACATCTCCCTGATCAAGCTGCCAAGTTTATGGATTGTTCACATTGCGCTTGCGCATGTTACCTGATAATATCTAGGTCAAGGTGGTGTATTTTCACCTGTCACAGACTTTGCCTTTTCATACTCGTTGGGGGGGGGGCTATTTGCCAAACTTTGAAATGCGTATAGATATATAATGCTTGGCCTGTTGTTAAATATTTCAAATATGACAACAATAGTCTATAAACAGAAGGCCAAGTACATATAATATTTAATTATTTGTTCCTTTCTATTTTGTTGACGGATTCTTACCACCCTCTTCACTAAAAAGACGGGATCAAAAGCCTATATCTTTACAGAAATTTGACATTTCCACATAAGCACTTTCTCCCAAGAAGTTCAGGGATTGAGCGGCGGTCAAGCTTATTAAATGACACCAATATTATGTTTCGCTGCGAGAGGACACCATTAATAGCGGATTTTTCTGGACTCATCACGTAATCGATTTTAAGGTCTTAGTCAAAAATACCATTAAAATAAGTGGAGGATAACGTATTTTCTGTTCATTTTCACCTCTAGCAAAACTGCATTTTTAGCAGAAGTGGTGTCTTTATTTCGTAGAAACGATGTTGCAATTCTTTTATGCATAATACAAACCATTCTTAAATAAGAAACAATCAAAGTAAAACGAACCCCATTAACATTAACTCAGTGAGATTACTCTCCAATAACAACAACCCGTTCTCATGCCAAATTATGCTCATCCGGCGCATCGTCCACTCGCCCTTATGTCGACTTTAATATTGTGACATGGTCGCTACAGAATAGACACTTTTGTAATCTTGAGATAGACGTGAAACTGTCAAAGTATTGTGACACTGCCATGAAAAATCAATAATAGCATGAACTTGCTATATACATGTAGATACACATGTACCCGTCACAGATTAGCAGGCTAACTTGTTGTTCAAATTAGAGACAAATAATCGAGTGACGCTCACGGCAAGTTGTTTTCATCCGTCTCTTTCGTCTGCAGTTGTTTTTATCCTATGGATAAACCTTAGTAAGTAAGCTCTTTCATAACAAGACGGAAACTCTCTAAATGCAAGTGAATTAAGAATCCGGCGAATAACGAAGAAGAGATGAAGAGCTTGACGACGCATTACCTTCCAAATGGATAAGGCAGACTAATCATTAAAGTGATTTTTTCCATATAATATCAAGCAATTCGGACAGGTTAATGGGTGTATATATCTGACAAAGGTGATTGAGTATTCAAGCGTTGCCCACATTTTCGAAATAAAAAGTTTGCGTAACTTTAATCGTATTCATCGCTGGCAATTGGTGTGAATAACGATCTTTCCTTTTCAAACTATCCCAAATGCCAAATTACAGAAAAACAGTCTAGGTCAGATTGATATGCGTCTGCATCTTGCCAAGGCCAAGATAGTTTAATTTGTTCGGAATGTTCTCTTAACAGACAACATCCCTTTAATCAAGTTTTCAACTGTTTTCCGTTGTACTGTTTCAAAGTCAGAACACGCTCATGGTGAACCAGTTGTCCGCCCAGAGTAGAAAATTTCCAACTTGAACACAATAATAGTTTTATGCAGCCCGTCTATTAACAGCAAGATTCCGTGTGTGCAGTGCATCTGCAACTTGATTGGCAATTGTCTTGAAACCCATCGTAATGTCGCTGTGGAACTTGGGCTCCTGATGAACTACTGAAAGTGATATTCCTCTCGCGCATTAACGCACAGTATTTCTGAAGACACACAGTAAGAAAAAGGACTAGAATGATGAAAGCAAACCCTGAGCCAAGTAAACTTTTTGATATGTCCGCCAGTGGATTGTCGTGCACAGCGAAATCGGAACCTACGTCACCAAGCACCTCTTGCTCCTCTGCTGTGTCGTTTGTCATCCCTAGGTCTGGCTAGAATACATACAAGTCTAAATGTGTTGAAAAGGCGTTGTTCTCGGGTCGCATTAAATGTACAAAATCACCGTGTGATCTTCCGAATGTTATTAACAATTGCCTGTAATCTGAATACACAAAAATATTGACAACGCGTCTACGTCACAGAACAGCAGTGACAACAAAAGCAATGTTTTACTTCTGTTGACATCGTGTGTTTGCAGAATTCCTTGAAACACAAAGGGAGATAAGATCCTGCTGTGATTATCTCGAAGAAAGCTAAGTATCTCTCATTACTAGGATGCAATATTCCAAGTGTTATATGAGAGCACGGGCGACGGAGAAGAAAATAATCATAGCTTATATAGATTATAAAACCAGTGGAACACGTTCATCCATATATAGAACATACTGTATTCATCACATACAGATATGGAGAGTGAGAGATTGCGGCATCGTGGATTTCATTAAAAAGGGCAGAGTTTAAATATATGACTGTAAAATATTTAAATAAAAGACTTTCCCAAGACTATATTAATATTGACTGATATTCCTCTATCTTAAAATATGTTGAAACTTCAGAAAACATTTTTTTTTCTTTTTGCAAAAGGGATACATTTTTAGGACCGGCCTCACTTTTCTTGCACTAACAACAAACGTGTTAACTTTGATGTTTAGTTACGTAAATTTAGACCACCAGCCTATATTACATTACAGTAACAGGAGTCAAATTTATGCCTTCTATATATCCCTTAGTTTGAAGCACTCATACACATACATTGGCAAGTTTGTTAAGAGAGTTGCATCTTCAGATTTCATGAGCTTATTAAAGTTGAATACGTTTGCCTGAATGCCGGGAATATATTTGGCTCTGTAGCCATTATATCGTGGACACACAAGCACGAAATGGTACTCGTCCTCTATGTATGCTTCATTATAAGCATTGCAGCAGAAATCACAATGTCTAAATTTGGGATCTATATCTATATCTATATCTATCTATCTATATATATATATATATATATATATATATATATATATATATATATATATTAAAAAAAACGTGTTAATATATTTATTTTCTCAAATTTAGCTGTGAAGTATACAGTTACTCTAATAGGCTTAAATGTCTGAATGCATTGTACCATCTGCAGTTTTGTTATATGGTCGTCTGCTAGAAAACCTATTAGATTGCGCTTGCTTTTTTTTTTTATTTTTCTTTCATTTCAGTCCAGAGCTACTGGTAGTTTTTTTCAATTTGTACATCCACACAGTAGAGACTCATTTTAAACGAGATAACAATAAAATTCGAACGAATCTATCTAAATTTACACCTAAAAGACGCCGAATTATCGGGGCGAAACTCGGCTTTTGTTCACATTGGCTTTAATTTTTTAATCCTTTTCCTCATGGCTAATTATGAACTCTATCTGTTCCATTTATCAAAGTCTGTATCTACGAGTAATTAATGATGAACTTCTGTTAAGAGACTCTTCATCTCGAACTTTCAAGTACTCTTATTTCATTTGTTTAAGTTTTCTGCAGCAATTTTGCGTAGATATCAAGTCGTTATAATCTCTATATATTTTTATTCAAAACACAGTCATAAGCTCAAAAATTCCGGATTAATTTGACCTAATTGCAACATACATCTAGCATATAAATAACGAATTCGGGGCATGACAATTTTGAATTATGTGAGGAAACGGAACATTTATTCGTATTTTGTATAGTCATCTGAAACTTCTGAGAATTTAACAACATCACTCCTTATTATATTGATAAAAGCTTTGCGGTTTGCTTATATTCGAGAGCAAGCTTATGATGCTTACGATGGAGAATCTCTATACAGCATAAAAGGTCCAGAGGCATAGCAATTCAAATAAGCAAATAAATCAGATACAACATTTGGCAAATTGAATCAATTATTGAAATAAGAAGTTCATTAATATTGTTAGTCCTGCAGCCTATAAATCAACATAAAATGAAAACCGGTTATTGAAATTGTAAGAAATGTATATAACCAAATAAACATCAACCTTTTTTATAAACATAGATCTACACCTATTTTTGAACATATATTTGAAAAAAGGTAATAAGTTTAAATCGGTAGATATTCTTCACATTTTTTACACAAATAATTGTTTTACGTGACTTAGAATTAGTAAGGTCGATTACAAGTCATGATCATAAAATGAATTGTAAGGTAAAGGGGAAAAAACAAAAAGCATAACTAGTGACTAAAGTTTTTTGGGGGGCTGGATGATCATAAGTATAGTTCTTGTAATGCTGCGAGACATGTTTGGTTTCCTATTTTTAAAAGTGACAATGATAGATTCCCTGCTTTTTCTTTATCCCAACCATATACCTAAATGCTTTCAACTAATTGACACATTAGTTAACATTATAGTATTTCATATTTTGTGTTGCTTTCTTCGTGTTTGAATCCGTGTTTTTATAGAATATTAGACAACACTTTCTTTCGTATCTGTCAGAAAATCGGCAAACCCGAATTACCAAAAGTCCTTAAACAAAGAGAAATATATCCACAAGAAATTTAAAAAATCTACATAAGAAGCAAGATTATCGGGCAGGATCTACCCACGCTGGGTGATATTTTTAAAGACAGAATGGCGAAAAGAACCGTCAACATCATGGAAGACTCTTCTCAGCCTGCATCATCACTTTTTACGTTTTTACCAAGCAGTAGTAGACTTCTAACTTTTAAAGGCAGTAAACTGCTTTTTAATTAGTTTTTACCCAAGTGCAGTGACGCATTTTAATTTGATCTCAAAACCTAATTCTTAATGTATCTATTGTATTACGTTAAATCTGTATATTATGAAACTTGCTCTAAATGGAAAATGATTTCCGATTTTTATAATTGGCTAAATAAACTCTTATCTTAACAGAGTCGACATACGTGTGTGTGTGTGTGTGTGTGTGTGTGTGTGTGTGTGTGTGTGTGTAAATGCTTCCAGAAACCTATTATAATTTATAATATGTCCTATGAAGCAAAAGATTAACAAGAAATAAACAAACAAAACAAAACAAAAAAATAAATAAATAAATAAATAAATAAATAAATAAATAAATAAAAGGGAACAGTTTTCATTAAAGTCGTTGATGTGGAGAGACAACTCCAGATAAACACTGAGTATGGGCACCAGTCCTCAGTAATAGTGTTAATCTTTCTCGTTATCAGAGGTGGAATTACAATTAAACTCAACTTTTGAAGTCATTCCATGCACGCTTGGAGATGTTAACTAATGTGAAGAAACCCAAATTCATGGTAATTAATGGTGTCGAGGGAAGCCGTGAGGGCATTTGTACGGCAGGATTGCAATTTGTTCACTAATTTCGGTCTTGGACCCATTAAGTGAAGCTTTTGACCAAGGCGGGAAGATAATTTCGTCTGTTCAATCACATGCATTAAATATAGAACCGTAGTTTCTTAAGTTCTCCACCTTTGTTCAAAAATACGATAACCCTCGTTCAAAACAACAGTGATTTTCCCTTTTGGATAAAGCGGAAAGTTCTTGGATTCCGTGTTACTTAGTTTTATCTACTATACATGAAGCAAAAATCATGTCTTAACGGATGGGCAAAGACCGCTAACATCATGTACGTCAACCCTTAAAATACACACACTGGACAATAGAAGTGTCACCCCCTGAATCAGAGTAATCAAATGCCTGGTCTACTTATAATGTGACTAATGAGTATAAAACCGCTGTACCATGGAATTGTATTGTTTGACTTTTTGTGAATTTTGATGTTAATAAAATGATACCAGGAGCATATCATTCCACAGTCATTTATCTCCCCCTAAGTATTGGTTCAGTAGGGGTGACATTTCTTTGTCCAATGTGTGAAGTATAGTAGGAATAGTAGGCCTACAGCAGTGGGATGAGGATATCCACGCCAAACGACTTAACGTTGACGGAGCGCGCGGAGAAATTTAACTAGTTTAAATAAAAAAATGTTACATTTTAAGCACCCTGATAATAGTGACTTTATTGTAAACATAATAAATTTTGAAATAAAGAAAACCATCAACACATGCAACGGTTTCTTGATCATTTATAATATGTGTGAATATACATGTATATATGAACCACGATGTAACAGTACTGGCATACACGTATACATGTATTTAAGTGCCTGGTGTAGATTGCACGACAATATGTTAGACATTAAATAAGTGGGCTGTAGATAGAATAACAAGCGGTAGCCCTAAACTCAACTCTAGCACATTGGTCTAAATACGTAAAAGTGAGCCCCGAGGAAAGTTAAATGGTAGCACACAGACAGTGCACGTTTTTCTTAAAATAAACAATGGTACGGTTTGGGGTAGTATTCAATGCCTCTTTTGTTTTGGCAAAGTTTACAAGGTAAGGATAACATATTGAAACTTATATTGCTGATTAACTTGATACCAACCCTTATCAAAAACATTCATTCTAGATCGGAGGCCTAGTGTAGGCTTTAAACACAGGTTGGCACAAGCACACGCTGATGATGAGACTTAAAATTCCCAAAACACAAAAAGCCACGCCCAATCCTATTAGCAAAGAAGTTTGCTCTGCGAACCACGTTTTTATGATTTTTATACATCCATGAGGGTAAAAATGTTCATAGTTGCTCAGTGAATCACGCTTCGCCTCCAGGATACATGCTGTATAATTATTCGGTGGTTCTAAAATGTACTGACTAGTAACAGGTATGGTGCAACAGGTGGGTGGAAGGTACTGGCCTGACAGCTTTCCCCAGACACTCTCTCTGTAATCTTGAGGTCTTAATGCCCCACAACATTGGAAAGTGTACTGGAGGGTACCAAATTTCACATAAACGTCCACAGACGTGAAATTGTGGATAATATCGTTGTACAGAGTCCGTGGAAGATCCGCATTGTCTAAAAGGCGACTCCTGGCAATTCCAATCAGAACACAACCAGCAAACACGCCGACTGTTGCTGTGGACACCAAAATAATGAAGAAAACGTAAGGACACAGTTTATTTTGCGTTGCTACACAGCAACCGATCGTGACTATCCCGAAGACGACCACCGCACCAACTGCTATGAACACGTAGAGCCCGTAGGTGGCTACATCAACTCCTGGGACTGCTTGCTCCATAGCATGTTGTCTGCTGTATGCTGCTTCATCTATGACCATCCACAGTCCACTGACCATTAAGGCAGCCCCTATCACCCATAGACAGAAGTTGGCGACCGCTAGGCCTCTCTTTAGAAGGGCGCTTTTATCACACATTACTACTTGTACTACCAGGGCGTGGCCTTTGTCGTAGAACTTATTTATCGGTGTATAGCGTTTACGACTACTGTCGTCATGAGAGGCCTGTTTATATACCTAATCTCTGCAAAGAGTTGATCATATTGTACTGGCCCGCCTCCCTGCATTGTCTTTCATACACTCAACGCCCGGTGCGACAGTTAAAAATGATATGCCCTACTTTCGTCGCTTCCATTAACAATCAATACCTATCTGAATGGCAATCCTTGACTTCCTTTTGTAACTATAAATCTACGCCTGATGTCACATGTAACCACGGACGGCTGCATTCCTTACAGACCGTTTTCTGTGCACCGAAAGCTTTATTTCGAAAGCACGAAAACCTGTTGCACGGGGAATGTAATATGAACAGAATATGAACACCGATATCGCGCCCCCTATTGAGAAATATATGAATGTAAAATCTTTTTATTAACTCGTGTGCGACGACATCGACGACACGGTGTTAAGCAGGCAACGACCTGGGCCAATGGTGTAACTGATATAGACATCATTTACATGCCTGTTGACGTAGGTCCCAGTAAGCAAAGAAACTAGGACCCATCAAACAAGTTTCATGAGTACCCACCTATCTTGAAATAAGTAGTTTTTAATGTGTAAAACTTATCACTTCTGATGTGGCCTCTGATGCTGAGCAAAAAATAGCAGGCCTACACACTTAAGAGTACGACTCGTTATTGAAATAAAAAATTTTCTTGGCACATGTTGTTCTATGTTCACAGCTCCTGCAGAATTCTAACTAAAATGAAATTAATTAAATAACGTGAACTGAGAGTGCCCACGCCATTTTAATAACAGTTTTGTTGATTTTAAGAATTTATTCGTTTAGGGCCTTATGAAGTGAAAATGCATGGGTCGGGGTGGGGCTCGGTGTGGTGTGGTGGAGGCAGCTGTAACACTGGTGTTTGCAGGTTATTAATTTGTACTGCCTGTGGGACTTTTGACGTTGACTGAAGGAAAAGTAAGTTTTTATAAATACTTCATTTCATACAGAAAAGCAACACTACACGTTACTACACAATGATAGACAAACAAAGGCAACTTCCACACACCACTCACACAATGAGAAAAATTATTTGTAAATAACAGATGAGACCAGGGCTAGTTGGCCCAGATAGACAGCTTATTACTAGTATGGCCTTGTAGAGTCAACTGAGAATGAGTAAGAGCAACAAAACCGGTTTGAAAACAAGCGCCAATAATTTAGCTACAAAGGCAACGTCATTATTTTGCAAACATAATTCCAGATGGGTCGCTATTTGACAAAAACCGCACCTGACAATGACCGGGGGGAGGGTGGGGAGGGGGGTGCAAAGGATTGTGGTGTATATGAGGGTCTAACTTGCCTCGAGTCAAGAGGTCCATCTACATGTAGCCCCAGCTAGGTGCGCATTTTTTCTTATTTTAAGGTATTTTGATATATTTGCAGCCTTTTTTAATGCTAGCAACGACTACGATGATACATTTCTGTGAAAACTGAAACAATTAGCTTTAATTTAATGCTCTATACATATACTTTATTAAGCCTATGCAAATATTTTTACAAACTTTAATCAAGTTACTTTTAGATGCAGAAAATATCATTTGATCTCACAGCATAAGTGACATTTTTTTTTATAACCGACGCTTTCTTGGCATTGTTGGATACGGTCACTTTACAAGATTGTGCGATCAATTTTTTTACCTCGTAGTTACTTTTCAAATATTGGCGTGGGGCAACTTACCCCGGGGTCCAACAAGCCCCGGTTTCCCATAGCCTACCCTAGGTTTTTATTGGGGATTTGGGTTATAACGTTAATTAGACCTGGAGAAATTCGCCTACGAAATTTCCGAAGTTTTTCTGTATTACATCTACTGATCTGTCTCTTAATAGCAAACATTAAGTGAAAGCTGACTTCTGTTCCCCAAAAATCCATAATTCGCCGCCAACATCAACTGATAACAAGCTGCACTTTTAAGTTCAAATCTGAGTGGCCTATCTTGTTTGAAGAAACAGGTGCTGACACTTAGCGGTACTGTCTGTGGTTAAATACGTAAATTTCAACATTTTCACAGAACTGATTTATTTTCAGTCAACCTGCCCCTCTAATAGTGAGTCCACGTAAGTTTGAGGTATTTAAAATAATGACTAAACTTGAAATCACATCTTTCAGTCTTGTTCAAGCCAATACATCTGAAAATTCAAACACTGCCATGACGCACTTCCGGCAGCCAGCTGCATTGCATGGCGGTCTTGGAGTGTTGACTTTTGGGTAAGTTCCCAGTGTTCATTGGTAATATTTCCCATGTTCCCAACCGAAGTGTAGGGCAGAACTAGAGTCCTCTGAAACTTTAGGGCTTTTAGTACTTTAAAACATGTTTGAGAGACCAGAACATTCAGTATTGAAGAATCCTTCTTTAAAGATGTCTCAGGGCTGTGTATGTGGATTTTCGTTCTTTCAAAAAGTTGTTTTCACTCCGACGTTGACTGTACCCGGTTTATCATGCTTGCAGCCGGTCGAATTTTTCGTCTGCTAGTTTCAGATATAAGAGTAAAGACACCTTAGTTCTTGAAACAGGACTGTTAAACTGCTTGGGATGATCAACTTTTGAATATTTCTTGTTTAATTGGTGCACGGAGACAGCATAGTGAGATCATGGCGCTATTGTTTTGGTTTTTGAAATTCACATCGACTTGGCTAAAAAAATGCTCTCTGTGTAGACAAAAGTGGAGCTGTCTGCCTATCTGAAGTCATATTGCTCCAAAAGGGCAATAACACCTGGCATTTAATTGTTTTAATTGAAGCAGTTGGGGCGGATCCAGAGATATTTTCTGACAGTCTTCCACATTATCTTTGGTGATCCATCCTCCATTTTTTGACCGTCTTCCGACGGAAAAAATTAGGTACTCATCAATATAAACTAAGAAATTTGACCGTCTTCCAGAAGACCCAGAAGACCGCCTCAATCCGCCCCTGGTCTGCAGTCAAGCATGTCTACTCTCCTTGGAGGCTTGCATCTCAAGCAGCTGAAAATCTTAAACCTGATTATTTTGAGGTTGAAGACACTATTTATTTCAGTGTTTCAGGTTTTAGCTTGTTATGGCATCCTGCCTCAATTACTACCATATGAGAGCTTATAGTAGTCTGTAATAATTTCCTAGATTAATTTATTGCTATCTTTTTATTATTATTGTTATTTTGTGTGACTGAATTTTTGACAGGTCATTCCATTTTAGATTATGTACTATGTTAAATAGCTAGACTACTACTCGAATGCATGTTGATTTTGTATGTATGTATTATGTTAATTTACAATTATTTAAGTTTTTTTGTTTGTATTACACAGAGTTGTAAAATATCTAATTGAAATTTGCTGTTTTACAACCAAGAAAAAGTTTCCAAATCCTCCACATGTAATAAGCTGCTATTTGACGAGTTTAACAGTGTGAGTTTTTCATAAATTTGTCTTAGCACTTAAGATTTCTTCTGCATTAGCCTTTATCTCACAGATTTGTGTTTTATGTTTCAGCAAAACACAGGTCAGCATGGAAGAAGACGATGGCAGTACATGTTTGTTGGAGCAGAAAGTAGTTCCAAGTACATCAAGCACAGATCAACAGGTGATCAGCCTACTGTTACAGACCCAAGCGGTAAGTGGGATGAGTGCTTAAAATGGCTTCTAGAAGGATGATTTAAAAGAATGAAGAGTTGCCTGGTCAAAAAATGTCCATCCTTATTGTAAGCCCCTCAACCTTACAGTGAAAAGCAAAGTAAATTACACATGGAATATTTGGGCCTCCGAGCAAATCCTTTCTTCCTATTTCTTATTTGGGAAGGCTGGGGCTTGATAAAATTTGTTTGGGAAACGGGGTTGCATTCAGTATAGAAATGGGGTTGCATTCACACACACCCCCTCCCCCACCTTATTTTGTCTTCTATGCTGTGGTCCGTCATGTTTTTACATAGCACTTTCTACAGCAGCACTTATGAGCATGGCTGTAGTAAATGGTTGCTAAGTATTGTGATTTTCAGGGTATAGTATTAGATAAACCTGAGTACATCAGCCATAATAAACAATGGTAATATAGGTATTTTTTCATTCTAGAATGGTTCTGGAGCAGGAGGCCAGGAAGGCCAGCTACAAACTGTCACCTTACCAGATGGGACCACGGCCATCATACAGCAAGGGATATCAAAGGGTAGAGATTTTACTTAGACTAGGTGTTAGAGTTTTTTACTTATTGCATAATGCTTCATTTTTGTTATCAGATATGTAGTGTTTTATCTGATAGCTTCATTTTCTAAATATTCCAGATGCCCGTTTGGTAGCTGGGGAGACTGTTCAGTTGTCAGATGGAACCACAGCAGTAGTGCAAGCAGTGACAGAAAAGACGGAAGATGGTAAAGTTTACTATGATCAATGTTTTTCATGGTCTCTAGATAGGATGATGAAATAGAATTATTCTTTACTAAGAGACTAAATAATAATAAAATCAGTCAAATCTGAAGCAAAATCACCATTCAAGTCACCAAGGTCCATAGGTGGTGGATGTGTTTGACTGACATTATTAAGTAAATAATAAATCTGCTTTACCATGGCAAGGTTTGTCTATCAGTTCAGGTGAAAATGCTATTGTAAACAGTTAAAAATTTTTGTAAATCATTGTTCATGTTCAGTGTTGTTGCAAAATATGTTTACTTTCCAGGATCTGGTGACCAGTTGCGTTTTGAAGAGGGCCAGGCAGTGCAATTAGAAGATGGCACCACTGCTTACATTCACCATACACCCAAAGGCAGCACAGGTATGATGATATAGCAACTAGCTAGCATATCTTTATTGATACATAAATTGAGTTCCTTGTCTCGTATAATCATTATTCATGAGACTACTATATTTTAATGTTAATATATATTCTGAGAGTAGTTATTGCACCTTGTACATTTATTATTTTCTTTAAGGATTGACATTTTTCTGAATAGGAAGTACTTAAATTGGTTTGTACTTTTGTGATCCCCCAGTTGCGTATTTATATGGCAGTTCAGTTTTCAGTCTGTAGCTGTTGTAATTTCATATATTTGTTTACTTATCTCCTAAAAACATTCTGTAATTGGAAGAAGCGTCATTATATGGACAAGCATTTTCAGAATTGGGTATGGAAGGGTGCCATTGAACGATTTGATATAAATAGAATTATTACTGATAAGATGGCACTTGATAATTTTGCCTTACCTGCATGTAACACAGTTGCACATGTTGTTTACAGAAGGTTTGCATGCTATACAGTTGGAAGATGGCACCACTGCATACATTGCCCAAGGAGCCACCGAGAATCTTTTTGCAGAGGGAGCCAGTACAATTGATCCAACGTCTGGACTTGGACTTGACCAGTTTGGACAACAGGTGTGGAAAAAGTGGAATTTTAACATTGGTTTACTTTTTTTCAATTTTTTTTTCCAAATTTAGATTAAGTGTGATGATATCTCTTTGGATTTGATGTTCAAAGTTTTGGGCTGCATGTAAATTATGCCAAGTTATGTTCAAATTCTGAATTTCCATCTAAAATATTTTACTTGATAAGTCAGTGATATATTCTTTTGTTATTTACTGTCAATAACTGTAAAATAAAGTAAGGGATTACCATCATCTACATTGTAGGGGCTATTCATTTTCAAACTCACTCAAGCACTTGAAGAGAAGTATAAGACCTTGCATGATAATCTGTTATTTACATTTTACAGTGGTGTCTCCCTCGATGGAAATTTTAACTGTCTGTTATTTCAGTCTCTGTTATATTATTTCAGGAAGTTCAGCAGGGTCTTGGTGTTGGCCCAGGTGTGGTCACATCCCAAGAGGAGAAAGATGGACAAACTATTGTGGTATGTGTAGACTGTGTGTGTTGATTTGTGGTGAGGTATTGAGATCATGATACTTGTGTTAATTGCGAAGGTCAATGGAAGTGATATTTTCTCATCAATGCCACTTATTCGTATACAATGAAATAAACAAATTATTGTCTTTTATTTCAAGAAAATATATGTAAATGAATTGATTATGTTTATAGTGCCAAGGGTCTCATACATATACACAATAAAATTAACCTACTTTTGTCTTTGATTTTCAGACTGTGGTACAGGATGGGCAGAACACATTGGCAAGGGGCTTCAAGTGTAACTATGAAGGTTGTGGGAGAATTTATACCACCCAACATCACTTAAAGGTAGACTTTTTCATGCTACTTGGTTTAAGTCTGAGTGTGCCTGTACATTTCATCTCAATGGAAGTGGTGGAATTTGACCTTGTTTGGTCTTAAAATGTCACCTTGAATCTTACTTAACAGATAATGTGCCTTGAAATGTATTTTATTTCAATGTATAGAATGCATGAAGTCCCTTAATAATTGCATTGGTAGTTTGAGGTACAACTTTTTAAATTTTTACGTGTCCTTTTTTTGCCAGGAAAATGTTTGTTTTTGAAGACTGTAATGTTAATTAACTTAGACAAGTATAATAATAATTTTTTTTTTCTCTAGGTGCATGTACGGACACATACAGGTGATAGACCTTTCAGGTGTGAATTCAAAGGCTGTGACAAGGCCTTTGCTACAGGTTATGGTCTTAAGAGTCATCTGCGTGTACATACTGGTGAAAAACCATATAAATGTCCTGAGGAACTGTGTGATAAAGCCTTCAAGACTTCCGGTGATTTGCAGAAACATGTCCGAACACATACAGGTCCATACCATACAATAATATACATAAATCTTAACTAATCTGTGATCAATAACATAAATAGAACTGGAACTTATGTGGTGAAAAATTCAAATACTAATGGGTGTTCTAATGGAGACTATTTATAGCTGTATGACACTAAATGATGTGACCAGTCTATCCAGGTCATAACTTAGTAAAAGGCCCCAGGGTGAGACTACACCATCTTTTAGTCTTTTAATTTTTTACCTTATATGTTCCAGAATTTGATTTATATATACTCCTGTTTCTAATTCTATTAAATGACTAAAAACATTCACTCATTTGAAAGTATTATAATCACGTGAAATGTTTTATCCTTATTGAACAAACTTATATGATATTTGTTTCAAGTTTTCTCTGCTCTTGCAGGAGAGAGACCATTCAAGTGTCCATTCGAAGGTTGTGACCGCTCTTTTACCACATCTAACATTCGTAAAGTTCACATCCGAACCCACACAGGAGAACGTCCATACATCTGTAATGAGGCAGGATGTGGGAGATCTTTTGCCAGTGCCACCAATTACAAGAATCATATAAGGATACACACAGGTATATTACAATACCAAAAAAGAGAGTGAGAATTAAACAGAGAACCAGTGAAGTTTTACTTGGAAAAAAAAAGATTGGGTAGTATTCAAATTATTATCCATGGGTTTTGATGAATGTGTGTTTATAAAGAAAACTGATATGAACTGAGTGCAAAAACACAACTTGTTTGTTTGAGAAAGGAATCCATGTGAATCTAAAAGATGATTGCATTTAGCAGCAAATGTTCTTTATTTCCAGGAGAGAAGCCCTATGTATGCACAGTGCTCGGGTGTGGAAAACGTTTCACAGAATACAGTAGTCTGTACAAACACCATGTTGTCCATACACATAACAAGCCTTATGTGTGCAACCACTGTGGGAAGACATACAGGCAGACGTCCACTTTGGCCATGCACAAGAGAACAGTCCATGGGGAGGATGGGGATGTAGTGGAAGGGGAGCAGATCTTGGTCCAGCAGGGTATGGGGGGTGGAAGTAAGTCATTTCATAATCGGATGTGCCATGTCATGATGTCATTGTAAAACAAATTACTGTGAATCACAATGCTTCATTTTTTTTTTAAACTTTGGATAATTAGTGAAGATTTTAATGATAAATAGTTACACAGGCATCATGTAAATATAAAAAAACATTCTGGTTTTTAGATTTGAAGTTTTTCTAAAAGTGAAACTTTCCATTGACGTTAGTTGAAATTTTGTTGGGCACCACTTAATGACATTAACATTTGCTTATTTAAGTATTGATTCAGTTGTTATTAATGATGTGGACTTAAAATAAAAGTTATAGTCAAAAAACAAAATACTTGTAATTGTCTCCTTTTTATCTGATCATTGGTTTACTGTATAAAGAACTGGTTTCAGGTGAAGAGCAACCTCCAGAGAAGAGGGCCCGTATACAGTTCAGCTTACCAGCCCAGGAAGGTAGTGTTCAGCAGGTGGTTGAAGAAGGTGCCACACAGGAAGATGGGGAGGGCAATTTGGTGATCAACACAGCAGATACTCAGCAGGTATGGTTTGGCCTGCAAGTGTAGCTTTCAATTCATATTCATTTTATACTACTTTAAATAATCAGATTTTAAAAAAAGGTACCTAAAGTAAGTTGCAATGCTCAGATTATTAGAAATCTATTATTTCTACAAATACCTAATACTGAACAGATACTAAATGAAAGCTATTTTCATTTTTAGATCACCATTGTAAGTTCTGAGGGAATGACCTATATCAGCCACTCTCTGCCTAGTGCTGGGCAGGCCGCCCCCCAGGTTACTCAGGCCTCTATTACTCAGCTGACCCCTGGGGTGACCCCAGGGGAACAGATCTTTGTAGTCACAGACCCTGCTCAACTGGAACTGCTAAAGGTAATGGAAAAAGTAACATCTGAGTGTCGCTGTAAAAATGATATGGTGGTAAAAATATGTTGAAAAAAAAAAAAAGAGTGCTGGGTACTGGACAGAATAAATATATATTTCTCCATCTTGTTATAAAAGTAATTTTCTATGCTGATCACACAAAAGTTACATGTAGAATTATTTCTTTCAGCAATTATGTCAGCAGAATCAACCACCCCCATTTCCAGACCAGTCTCAAACTCTGCAGCAGCAGCAGCAACAACAACAGCAACAACAACAACACGAGAGCACAGATCTTGTGGCTGCTGACAGTGTGGTTGTCCACAGTGGGGTGACTCCAGCCCAGTCATCAGCAGAGCCCACACAGGACACTCTGGGGGTTGTCATAGACACGAGGGGTGAAACCTCAACAGAATCTGTAGTGGTGGCCACTTCTGCCAGTGACACTGCAATTGATGCAGTAGAAAGTCTCACTGGTTTTACTGAAGACTAGGCTTAGTAAATTAAAAAAATAATAATAATAAACATGCACAGCAGCAAAGAAAGTATCTGGGTATTCTTGGATAACTTGAATGTGAAAACTAAAAAACTGATGTAACTGTTTAAACTTGAACATATCGGAAAAATAAATAAAACATGTCTTATCAACATTTTGTATGCTAGTTAATTTTGGTTTGGTCAGTAGATTCATGGGTTCGCAATTTATTTGTAACCAAAAGTATGGACAAGTCATAATTTTGGTTTGTATGATCAAAGCAAAGTAGACTGATAATATAATTTTAAAGAATATTCAATGAAGTTTGGTTATCTAAATTTTGCAGCTGTTTTTCCGTTCTGTCTGAATGTGAGCCATTGCATGATATGCTATTTCTAAAAAATCTTGATAGCCGAAGTAATGCATATCTGTTTGGCATGTTTGTTTCGCTGTAAATACAGTATGTTTATGAAGTAATATTTTTATTTTAGTATTGTGTGCTGATGTTTGTTTCTAACACATTTGTAGTTTAAATTGGATGATACTTGTACACATAATATAAAAAACAACTGAATGTACATATGATAATAAGGTACAAAATTTAAAACTTCAAACGGAACATTGTAAAATAATAAAATGATACACACTGGGAACCTTTATTGCTTTGTGTTATCACTGTTAGAGATCAGCACTGTTGTATAAATTTGATATAGAAAATCATTTGGGCTTAGTGTATTGAATCTAGGACCCATGAGACGAATATAGTAGTTTGATAGGCCCGACCGTAGATTGATTAGAAATAAAATTGACATAAGGCACAATGTACCACGAGTCGTCAGTATCAAAGATGCAGTCAGGGACAACTGTTTTAATTAAAAAATGGATATAATACAAAACTACATTGCATTATTTAATCAAAAGAGAGCATTTGTTGAATAAACTTCAAGAAGTAAGTTCCCATCTCAACGAGCGCCACAAACACATCTGTAATATAAGCTGTCGCCAGGTGTCAGCACTAACACGTGACCGAGTGTTCAAACAAGGGCCGCCATGTGGAGAAGTTTACACTGTGAGGTGGATGAACAACTACACTGTAGAAAGCTGATATTTTGAAACAATAGGAAAGGAAACTAGTGGTAAGTGCACAGGATGGAGAGGAAAGATGAGAAACAATGATTTTTGTAGTAGTTGGATTTTTAGTGGCTTGAATTATTTTTTGTAAGGTGAATGTTTAATCGAGATTTTACATGTGATAAATCTCAGCCATTTCAATCTTTCCGTGTCTCACCGGGCGTCCACGTTATCACAGCATTAGTCACCGGCTAGGCACTAGTCTCAGGTGTATTCTCCGGGGTAGGCCCACGAAAATATCGGATCTGACTGGTATGAATTGTATTTATCAGTGCCATACCAATTATTACAAAGCGTTGACAGAAAAAACGCTGTCAACGGAGATAAAAATTTACGGAGTTTGTTTACAACATTCGATATATGTACTGTTGCATTGTTGTGCCTTATACATGTCTTCTCCTACTAAAGTTTAACTAAGGTCTGAAAAAAAAATGATGTGTTGATGTGCACCTGCATCTTCCAGTTGGCATATATTGTGCTGTGACTTATTTGCAGGTGAGGCCAGTCATTAAATAAGGCCTTAGATAAATTTCTCACACGGCAAGCTTATATAGTGTTGTGATTAAACTTGAAGTAGAGGTGTGTGGGTTGACGGCTTGCTTTTTGCATGTGATGTCACTTATTAGTCCGTGGGTTTGATAGCCAGCAACCAAGAATAAGTGGTTAGGAGCTCTAATAAGATGGGTGAAAAGTGACTTCAAGAGCAACTACGTCCTCCACCTGACTGGTTGTTGAAAAGAGCCCATGCAGGTGCCCAGAAAAATAGATCTATAAGAGTTCTGATGATTTTTTGCAACAGTCTAATCAGTGATCGCCCTGTCTCCCTCCCAGTCAAATTCCCCAATATAAACCCCAGGAAGTAGCCTCAGCATGTAACACATTTTCATTGTCTACAGAAAATATCACAAGATGTTATTGCCACTGCCCCAGGGTACAACAGCAAACTTGTCCCTAGTAGAACAGGCCTATAACACAACAGAACATAGAGAATCATCACAATCACTAGTTATCCTCAAGATCTTGTTTAGTATTGACAAGAGGGATAAATGATATGATGGATGTTATGTGCTGATTACTCTTGTGTGCTAATATATGAGCTAAAATGGCAATTTGTCACAGTATAGAAGACAGTTGCCTGTACTCGCTCAACCCACCTGTATTTATGACGTACATCACGTGTATTGTATATAGACCTAGATGAATATCATCAGTATTTTTTGACAAAACTAAGAGGTTTTGTGTTTGGTTGCAATTTATATATTTATTTACATGTCTTTTCGAAGCTTGTCTTTTTCTTGAAATCACACATGGAATGTTCTGAATAAAAATAGCACCTTTCTTTATTAAATAGAATATTACATCTTCAATACAGCTACTTTTTCTTGGCTTTGTATAATATATAAAAAGGCATTGAGAGCTATTGTTACATTTTTATCTAATGCAAAAAATTTTAATGATATGCATTGTTTTACTTAGGTATGACTGTTTTAAAGGTTTAAATATTAAGTTGTGTAAAAAAATATATTAAGATCAGTCAGGCCATAATGGTAAGAGATTGTAATAGCTTTCACTAAGCCAAGCATAATTTAAAAAATGATCTTGGAAAAGCTTTACATACAGCCTTTTGCATAAGTATTAATGTTAAGCAGACGTGGGCCATTAAGAGATAATATGACATACTAGACCAAAACCACATTTAATACGGTTTGGTGGATATATCTCTGGTATGTCACTGAAGAAGGTGAGTAGAAGAGGCATAAAACATAAAATTCGGATTTTGTTGCTATAGAAGAAGTCCTTCTGTATTTCTGTGTCTAAAAGTGTGGAGATGGAAGTGGACAATGTACATATATGGAATATATAAGGTAATACATGTAATCTAAATTATGTACATCAACAGGTCCATAAATAACAATCTTCATTTGCACATATTAAGATCTATGCAGGTGATAATTGTCTTTCTAAATAAGGGCCATTGTTATGAATCCTTAATTTTGCTTTATTAAATAATTTAGTTTAAGTCTTTCGCTATTTACATTTTGGTATTTGACCACAGAATGAGTATTGGTGGTTAACTCGTAGACCAAAGTAAAGACCAATTGATGGTAATTACAAATCTTTCAACTTAATTATCGTCCATTTTTATGATCTGCATTGTGCAATGTTATGTTATGAGTGTTACCTATATTTATACCTTCACATTCTCCTTGAATAAGGTATGAGTAAAAAAGAAAATTAAAGATAAAAGAAAATTTAAGTTGTAAACAAGATTCACAATTTTTAAATGAGTCTTCTCACAAAATTTATTGTAACCACTCAAATACATAGACACATTTTCATTACATACATAGCTGAAAAGAGGACCTTGAACTGCAAAGCACCAATTTTTGTGTTTGTGTAGTGGTGAAAAAACTAACAGTAATGATAATGGTCTATTTATTTTCAAGAAAAGATTTGTCTATCATCTTTACCTTGGCACTAACAATGAGTGGTGTAAATGATTTCTGGCTTAACCAAGCACCTTTTCTTGTCATTAAAAAAAAATTTTTTTTTGTAAGAAGGGGTGTTTATTGTTTCCTGGGTGTTGAATGATCTTACCTCCCACTCAGATATCCCCCTGGATTGTAATCTCATGAACACAGCAGAATAATAGAGATTGATTCAGATTTTTCTGCATTTCCTGGAGCTATATTGGATTTCTGAGTAATGATATGCCAGGAAGTGAGAGTCTTTGTACAATCGGAAGACTGACTTAAGCTCCTTGTTGCTGATGGTCAAAGTCATTCAAATTAAAAACAATTGTAAGAAGTTTTAAGTGGAAACTCGGTTTGTATCTGGCACATGAGCTCTGTCGACTGGTATACCAGTTCCAGAGATAAATGCTTTTTTTGCGACAGTAATTCTGCTAACAAAAAGCACTGACCACATAATCTGATGTGAAAATTGCATCAAAAGCAGTTGGAAGGAGGCAATAGAATAAGAAAAAGTTGTTTTCTTTGTAAAAGTTTATTGTTGAGTGTTGCTGTATGTTTTCACATTGATTATTTTCCTTGTGCTTTTCTTTTGATCTTATCAGCCTAAAGTATGTATGAAATGGTTACTGTTAGGATGAACCCATTTTGGGAGAATATTTTTATNTAGGATAACGAACCGTTTTATTACAGCAGTTCCCATTTTTTTTTAATATGACGCTCTTTTTCCTGTTTTTCCTCAACACGTTTTCTTCCACGGAAGCTTCAAGATACCCTGAGAGCAATTTATTTTATAATGTTCGCGACCGTGTTTGAACTTAATTGTTTAAGTATTGATATTTAACGTCATTTACAAATACCAATAAAATAACCCCATGAAATAAATGAGATGTATTGAAAAATATGAAAGCCCACCAAGAAGAGTTTCATACCTGTTATTACCTGTCTTGGGAATTGCAGCGGTGCACAATTAACAGATTTTATAGTTGCTATATGAGAAGATAGGAAGAAATTATTTGCTCGGTTCAATAATTGGTGGTGTTGGTGGCGAGAGCGGGAGTCACCCTGTGATGCTCGAGCAATAACACCTTGATAACCGAGCGGTGCGGTAAATTGTTAAATCATTTGGGTGGGGAGGAAGTCCGTTCTGGACGTCCTTCCATGGCGTCTTTATTGACCCCACCTTCAATAATTGTCAACCTCGCTCAAGTATCCATCTCAGTATTTTAACTCCCGACAGTATATGGCACTATAAATGAAATTATAGTCTTCGCCAATAATTTGTTATTTATTGTTAACGAGCTCTTGGTCAACTACAATGAATTTAAAAATGCATCAGCAATTAGTTAGCTTGCCAACTGATGACAGTATCTAAAAGACTATTAGCTTTTGAAATGATCTAAAACACCTGAGGTGACCGAGATCGCGAGGATCGCAACTATTGTCACCGAAGTTAGTAAGTTAGTCACGGAAGACCGTCACAGATAAAGAAAGATAGTCAAGGAGTGCTGCAATTTTGGTGAATCCCACGGCAACACACTGAGGCATAAAGAAAATTGTTCAACTCC